TCCATGTAAATAATACAAATCAAACCTTGAAGTTCAGCGCAGATATGATCTGACAAGTAAGCCAGGCTTTTTGTTTTCCTTTGATCCAGCTCCAGAAATATTTTATCCAAGGTAAAGTTGTTTTTAAGTGTTTTCCATTTCAGTTTTTAATTTCGGATATTCATCATATAGGAAACTCGCTTATAATGCTTCAGACCTCAGTCTGGCTGCACTGACTCACGGCACCAAACATAAAGATTTCCTTGTATTTGGCCCTAAGAGTGGGACCATCAAGAGTTCCCGATGTGACACGGGATCGATTTCCATTGCTCGGTTATTTTTAATGGTACAGGGAACATGGACAACCCCAGCTGAACGTTTCCAGTATTGTTTGCACTGTTCCACTTCTCACAGCTGTGTTGGGGAATAATACTTTTGAAAATAATAAGATACACAGGCCTTTGCTTTCTAAGTGATTGCCCAAATTCCCCACGTGATGCCGTTCCCTCAGGATGCCGTGTGGGAGCAACAGTGCCTTCTCTTGTTAGGTTTACTTTGATTTATTTTTTTTTTAGTGTTTTACTTTTATAATTCTGTTAAAAATAAAATTTAATTTTTTTAAAAAATCTCTTTCTACTCCATTCTAAAACTAGGATGAAGATTCTGCAGTTCAGAAAACTAGATATATATATATCAACCTGATGTTCACAATTTTCTGTGTTGTGTGCCTAAATACAGATTTAGGCACCTTGCTGAAGGCACCCAGTTTTCAAAAATTCAGCTCTTGTGAATAATGTAAAATCCTCTGGATTCTCTTCCTTCCACAAATTGGAATGTAGTATATTTAGAATTAACAGGGCCCATTTTCTCTTCTGACTCGAATATGTGGTGTAAGGTTAATGAAAATAAGATGGATCTTTTATTTTGGGTCTTAAATATAATATTATTAAATGTGCCCACCAGAAATGTAGGATAAAATATTTGCTCTGCTTGAAGATTATGTGATATTTGTATTCTAAGCCTCACCACAGTGGGTTTCTTTAAATAGAAGCTATACTTTACTCCTAAATTGCTTAAGGCAAAGGAAGCAGAGATGATGTTTTTATGAATGTTTAAATGCAAATGGAACTGAGAGTGAATGCTATGCTAGCTAACATCAAAGGCTCACCAAAGTCTCTGCATTAATGAGGCTCTTTGTTTCCTGGATCACAGATTACAACAGGTTTCCAACTCATTGCCAAGGCTTTATCTCCATTTGGGAGGGCTGTAAATCTCAGACGATTTTTTTCACATGCAAAACAAGAGGATCATCTGAAAGAAGAAGGGGGAAAAAAAAATCTTAAAGTAGCAAATATTTCATTCAAATGATTATTCCTCAAAGTGGCTGCATCTTGTTTTATTTTTGGGATGTTTAAAAGAATGGAAATTTGCAGACGGAGTTTCCTATGGGGCAGCTCATTCATTTGGAGGGGAAAACCGAGCAGGAAAAAAGCAAACAGCATCCTTCCCCCCTCTCATCTCCTTCAGCCCTGCATCAACTGTGCCCCTGAAATCAGAACAATAATTCTATGTCATGCAAAATCAGCAATTAGCAGAAAGACGGATTTTGCTTCATTTAAATATATTCAAGTACTTTTCAAAGTGGCTCCAACTAGTTCTTCTCCTCCCCAAAAAGTAATGAGATTATATCCCTAGTAATAATACCCTAATTAACAAGAAAAATAGGGGCCGAGATTTTTAGCTTCCTATTCAAGGGCTGAATGTGACAATATGTTGTATATTGGGTCATAAAAAACAATTTACATGGCGTCATTACAGTCTGTAGCAAAGTCTCCAGGACCCAGGGCTATCTTATGCAATCTTAATTAAGGAAAATAAATATCGGTGTGTTGTTTTAAGCTACCGGAGACATGCACAGGACCTGTCGTATGTGATCAGAAGAGATGGGGAGTTTCCTTTTCCATGGGAACTGCTTGAAAAACCCTCCGACGCCGACACACAAGTGTCTAGTGCCTCCGAAATTGGCTGCGAAGATGGTAATTTCGTGTTTCCTGACCCTCGGGGCCAGTCAGGAAAACTAATAATTTTCTGCAGCCCCACGTCACGTCTGTGCTGCCGAGGGGCCGGGGGGCGATGGTGTGCCCGCGGGTGGGCAGGGCACGCTCGTGTGACCCGCGTGTGTGCACACGTGTGTGGTCTGTGTGTGTGTGTGCACACGTGTGATCTGTGTGTGCACCCATGTGTGACCTGTGTGCCTGCACCCATGTGTGATCTGTGTGCACCCACGTGTGATCTCTGTGTGTGCACACGTGTGCTCTGTGTGTGCACATGTGCGATCCGTGTGTGTGTGTACACATGTGGTCTGTGGGTGCACACATGTGGTCTGTGGGTGCACACACGTGATCCACATGTGTGTGTGCACACAGTCATGTATGACCCATGTGTGTGTGTGCACTCATGTGACCCATGTGTGTGTGTGTGCACTCATGTGACCCATGTGTGTGTGTGCACTCATGTGGCCCATGTGTGTGTGTGTTTGTGTGCTGTGTGTGCCTGTGTCACATGTACATGCCCTGATGCGTATCAGCGTGTGCACACATTTGTCCTGATGCCACAGTGTGTGCATGTATGTGCTCATGTGTGTCTATCTGTGAACACATACGTGTCCTGATGTCTCTCTGTGTGTATGGGTACACGCCCTGATGTGTCTCAGTGCACACATGTACATGCTGAAGTGTGTTTGTGTGTGCACACACATACATGATGACGTGTGTCTGTGTGTGCACATGTGCTGATGTAATAGTGTGCACACATGCATGATGATGTCTGTATGTGCACAGCTATATGTTAATATGTGCATGTGTGCACACATGCATGTGTTCACGTGTGTCTGTGTGCCCACATCCTGATGTCTTACTGTGTACATATGTACATGTGTTCATGTGTGTCTCTCTGTGCACACACACATCCTGATATCTCAGTGTGTGACTGTGTACACATCCTGATGTGTCTCAGTGTGCACACACATGTGCTGACGTGCGTGTGCACACATATATGTCCTGGCGTGTCTCAGTATGCACACACGTATGTGCTGATGTGTGTCTGCAGTCCCATGTACGGCCTTCTGTCCTCTGTATTTGTCTGTGTGCTGCTGACCTGTGTTTGCAGACTCACGGGCAAATGTGAGCGTGCAGATGTGTGTGTGTGTGTGCAGATGTGTGTTTGTGTGCAGGTGTGTGTGTGCAGATGTGTGTGTGTGTGCAGGTGTGTGTGTGTGCAGGTGTGTGTGTGTGCAGGTGTGTGTTTGCAGATGTGTGTGTGCGCAGATGTGTGTGTGTGTGCAGATGTGTGTGTGCCAGACTGTAGCTGTGCACCCTGATGGGTACAGTTGTGTGTTCCTTTCTGCTGGTGTGTTTGGGGCTGTGTGTCGATCCCACTGCTGTGCACACATGTGTGGGATCACTCCCGTGTGCCAGCTGTGTGTGCTGATGTGTGTGCACAGGTCTGTGTAGCTGTACACTGACACCTGCAGGGACAGTGTGGGCACGAGCAGTGTGTGCAGGTTGAGTGTGTGCCAAAGTGTGTGTGCAAGCACGTGTGCAGACAGAGGTGTGCACAGGCGTGTGTGCAGGTGTGTGGGCACAGGTGCACGTACAGGTGTGTGTACACAGAGGTCTGCATGCAGAGATGTGTGTGCAGGCACGTGGGTGTGCAGAGATGTGTGTGAGGGCCTCTCTGTATGTGCACAGAGGTGTGTTCAGGTGTGTTCATGTGCAGAGATGTACGTGCAGCACATGTATATGCACAGATGCGTGTGCAGGCCTGTGTGTGTGTGCACAGAGGTGTGTTCAGGCATGTTCACATGCAGAGATGTACGTGCAGCACATGTATATGCACAGATGCATGTGCAGGCCTGTGAGTGTGTGCACAGAGGTGTGTTCAGGCATGTTCACATGCAGAGATGTACGTGCAGCACATGTATATGCACAGATGCATGTGCAGGCCTGTGAGTGTGTGCACAGAGGTGTGTTCAGGCATGTTCATGTGCAGAGATGTACGTGCAGCACATGCATGCACACAGATGTGTGTGCAGGCCCGTGTGAGCGTGGGCTTGTGCGCACACGCGGGCACAGGTGCGTGTGCCCATGTGCGAGCAGACACGCGTGTGCACACCTGTGCGTGCAGCACACGTTACACACACCCGGGGGGCCGCACCGAGCCCGCCAGCGCTGCCCACGCGCCGGCAGCCGGGCCGGGAGGGGGGTCACCCCGCCGCAGCATCCCTTTAAGGCAGGGACTCGGCGCGTGTGCGGCGGAGCATGTGTGTCCGTGTCCGCGCGTCTGTGTGTCCCTGTGTGTGTGTCCCCGCGTGTGCCGCCCCGGCCCGGCCTCCCGGCGCTTGCCAATCCACCCGGCGGCGCTTTGATGTCGCAGGCATCGCCCGCGCGCCGCCGCGGCTGCGCAGTCGGACGCGGGCGCTCCGTGCTCCGCCAGCCGCCGGCGCCCGCTGCTTCAAGCCAATTCCGGGCTTCGGGAGGGCGGGGGGGCGCGGCGGCACGGGGGGGCCCGAGCCCGGCATCCCGCGACTCCCTGCCGCCCGCAGGCTGCCGAAGCGCCGCCCGAAGAGCGCCGGAGCGGGAGGGGAACGGGGGAAAGCGGGGAGGGGAGGAAAAGACTGAAGAGGGGGGTAAGAAGCGATTCTGATTTGTTTGTTTTTTTTTTTTGTACTCAGAAAGGGGTTTCGAAGGGAATTTTGGAAAAGGCGGGGAGGCGAAATTAAAGGCAAAAGTTTAAAAAGTTCAAGAGGAAGGCGAGAAAAAACTTCTGGAAGAAAAACAGAAATTCAAGAGGGAGCAAGTTTTTTTACATATAGGTTTGGTTTTTTTTTCCAAAGAGGAGGAAAAAAAAATAATTGAGGGAGGGGGAAAAAAGAATAATAATAATTGCGGAGGGCTTGAGCCGGGAGAACAATACTCGCCGGGAAAGTTGCTGCGCGGCGGGGAGGGAGCGGCGGGAGGAAAATGCCGCAGCTGGGCAGCGGCGGCGGGGACGACCTGGGCGCCACGGACGAGATGCTGGCCTTCAAGGACGAGGGCGAGCAGGAGGAGAAGATCCCCGAGAACGCTTTCACCGAGCGCGACCTGGCCGACCTCAAGTCCTCGCTGGTGAACGAGTCCGAGGGCAGCGGCAGCCCGGCCGCCGCCGCCGCCGACCCCGAGGTGAGTGAGCCCCGGCCCGGCCCCGCGCGCCCCGCGCCGGCCCCGCGCCCCCTCCCCACCGCCCCCGCGCTGCCCCTCTCTCTCCTCCCCATGCAGGCCCTCCGGCGAGTGCAGGATCCGCAGAGAGTTTACCAGGAGAAGCTCCCGGACCACATGGATGATGGTTAGTCACGGCAGTCCCCGCGTGTTTCCGTGTGTCCCCCTCTCCTCGTTCCCGGTTCCCGCTGGTCTTCCCCCGTGTGCCCTGTCCAGTGCTCGCCCTCCCCGGGGTGGTGATCCCCCCGGTCCCCCAGCCCATCACCCTGTCATCCCCCGGGAGGGAGGGATGTCAGCCTGGCCACCACAGCCCCCCGTGGGAAAGCTGTGTCTGTCAGCACCGAGGCTTCCCAGTGTCCCCAGTTTGGGATCCCACACCCATGGGGTACCTTGGCACCCCTCAACACCTTCTCCAGGGAGTCCAGGACAAAAAGACTCCCACAGTATGCTTTAACCTCTTTGGGGACCCCCGACAGGCAGGGGAATCACCTGTCGTTAGGCCAATTTTGACAGGGCACGTTGATTTCAGCAGGTATGAAACATCAGGACCCAGGGATGTATAAAGGATCTGCATATTCCGGCTACCCTTTCCTGATGCTCTCAGATCCGTATCTGCCCAATGGATCTATGTCACCTCTGGTGAGTTCCTCCTCTCCTCGTGGAGAATTTTCATGGCCTCTCTCACTGCTGAAGTATGTTGTGGGTATTGTGCAGGCACCTACATGTGCTTTTTTCCCAACAAATGGGAGCCCGGTTTCTGCAATACCTGGGCGCTGTTCCGTCCGAGCCGAAGGGAGAAGCCATGGGAAGGGGCAGAGATGCTCGGCAGGAAGCGCCTGCTTGGCTCCGAGTTTGCTGGAGGAGCTGCTTTCCCGACCTCCCCATCCTCTAGGTTTGCCTTTACTCTTCCAGCTCAAACCCTGATGTCTAATGGAAGAATGCCCCTTCGTTTTTCTGGGTCACAGGCTTTGGAAGGAGCAGCTCCTGGTGTTTGTGTTCAGGGATATGTCCCGCAGCTGAAGTTGAGCTCGATGTGTCTGCTTGTAAAACAGCCAGGTTCTGGTGTGCTGTGGGTTAGGGCTCTGTGGTGGATGATGGCCCAAAAAGTGGGTCTTGTGCTTCTGAAATGGCAATAGAGGTTTTTAGGAAAAGGCTTCACGCTGCCGGAGGACTATTCCCGTCTTCTTGCTGTAAAGTTTTTCCCTCTGGGTTTAAATCAGCTTTAGTAATTCTGTGTGTCGTACTATTTCTAAGTTTTGCTACGTGAGTGATTAAACTAAAGGCTTCTCTACACAAGCTGTCTTTTCCCATCACCACCTCTATCAGAACTTCAGCAAACACTGTCCTGACTTTGCAGCAGTCGGTTGGGGCTGGTGTGGCTCCTGGGGAGCCAGCACTGCTGCGTTTGTTTCTGCTTTATTCTGCATCAGCCGTCGGCAAGGGAGGACAGAACGTAATTTGGTTTATTTCAGGTTTAGATTTTTAACCTTTAAAGGGGTGAGGTTTAAAAGGATCTATAAAACCGTCCTTAATTCCAGGCATTTGTTCACAAGAGGGGGAGGGTGTTAAACTGGTGTTATTTAAAATTGGTGGACTGTGGGGTATGGAACTCAATATTTTTTTGTGGGAATCAGTGCCGTACCCTCACACCCGACCCAGCTGGCCTGGGCAGCAGGAGACGGGTTCCTGCGAGACCTTCCTGCACCCAGCTCAGCTCTTCCCAGGGAATCAGTTTCTCTGGCTGCAGATTGCTGTGACTTTGCCAAAGTTTGCAAATACTGAGGCTCTGTCCCTAAATTTTGAAGTCTTCCTTCAGTTTACAACAGGAAAAGATGTGTTTGCAAGGCAGGACCAGTGTAACCCAAATAAACATTTCTTCTGGTACTTCTCACCTTGTTTCCCTTCATCCAGGTATCAGGTACTGCCCCATCCCCTAAAATATGAAACTGTTCACTTCCTGATAAATTTTAAATTATGTTAAATTTGTCTTATTGAAACACATTTAGTGTGCTCCCTGGGATAGAATCTGGGTGAGTTCAGAGTTACGTTAGTCCAGCAACTATTTGTTGTAGTGGAATATTTCTTTTAATCTTAAACTCTTCCTAGATGGGCAGCAAAGTGCAATAGCCTATTTATTAGCAGTTAGGCTGAAAAGTAGGTTGTGGTTTGGGAATCGCCTCTCCCCTTGATAATGGAATAAAATCCAAGTGATTACTGTCAGAGCAGCAGGCAGGAGTAAGTAGACTGTGCAGAACTCAAAGGGGAGAAAACTGAAGTAGCAGAGGAGGAATGATCCAGTCCCCTTGAGAGCCACTCAAATCATCCAGTGCCTCAGCCAGCTGCCCTTGGGCCTGCTCAGGTCCTGCCGTGGCTTATGTTGTATGACTTAAAGAGCTGATTTGATGTTTTCAGCTAAAAGTCTGTTACCTAACAGACAGGGGAAGATTTCTTCCTCAGATGAAGGCTGGTCTTGTGGTTTTTCAATTTATTGCAATAGCTATTCCAGTGTATTATTCTGGGCAATTTTGTCTTGTGTTTCCATTGACTGTGCAAAGGTTATCATGGTAAATTATGGATTGCTCTCATATAGATTTATTGCTGCTGTGTACATTATGTGAAGTGTGGGCTATAATCTGGTGGCTGCTTCCAATAATTGGGGAGGTCAGATCTGTGACCGAAGATTGCAGATACTTAACCATCCATAAAAGTGTGTTTAATTAACACTTTAGCACAAGTAGAGTCGGGGAGGAAGGCTGTGTGAGTGAATGGGATTACATATCACAGCCATGCGTGCTCTTGATAGTGGAGATTGTATTTTGGTTAATGAGGCTTCCTGGAAACGGTTGTTTGCAGTTGGGATTAATTTTAGAATCTTAAAAAAAATATATATAAATTAAAAGATTAACCCAAGAGTACTCTGGCAAACTTTCAGGGCTTTGCATTGAAAATAGTAATTTCCCTGATTGAGAACAGAGTATAACTCCCTGAAAGGCGAGGGGCAGCCGAGGCTGGGGCTGAGCCCCTGCCCTGCAACGCTCTGTAAAACCACACTTTTTTCGGTGGGCTCCCCACGAACCCCATCAGGGCCCTGCAAGCACTGCTGGAGCAGCCCCGGTGCCTGCCTGGGTGGGTGTGTTGCTACCGGCAGTGCTGCTTTCCTATTTGCTTTCTGATTTTCTCAGCAGCATCACTTCTGCTTTGTTTCCCTCAAGGTGGTTGTAGCCACTAACTGTTAGGCTGCTCACCCCAGCATCCTGCTCGGCTCCCCGCATCTCCCAGCCAAAATTGCCTCTTTTTACCAAAACACACCCACTCGTGTTATTTACGAGCTCTGGTGCCGCTCCAGAGCGATGCTCTGAAGGTGTCTGGGTACCTGCCACCAGCAGCAAGGCCAAGCCCAGCTGATGGTCCCTGGAGGGCCAGCAGCAGCAGGAGGGTGGCAGGAGCTCCCTGCAGCAGGGTGGCCACCTCGGCCGCAGGTGGCAAATGCCAGTGGGGGATAATTCAGCTGGAATGATGCTGCTTTGAGCAGGCACAGGTTTCCTGGACTGGCAGTAGAGCTTTCACAGGGGGTGCAGCCAAAGTGCTCCCGGAGCTGCTTCAAGGCAGTGGGCCCAGCCTGGGTTTTGGGAGCGAGCTGTGAACCCCATCAGCTGCTGGGCTGGGGAGGTCAAGGGTGTCAAGAGCCTCTCAGCACAACCCGTGTGCACCTGAAATCCCAACATTCTGCCAGGCCCCAGCAGAGCCAGCTCTCACCTGGCTCTCAGGTACTGTGTGTATGGTGCTTTATGGCTCCACTTTCACTCTCCCATCTCATGCAAAGTCCAGTTTTTTCCAGGAGTGAAATATATGGGATTTATGGGTTAAAAACCTGCGAGAAACTTCCAAAGAATATGAGCAAGTTGAGGAACTGTTTTTCTAAATTAAATATAAAATCATAAAACTATATCCTTTTTTAAATAGTACAAATGACTTTAAATCAAATTAAGGTACATCCTTAGTAAGAACATCAGCCTTTTAGGTGGTTACAAACATTAGAGGTCAGACATGGTCAAACATGTTAACACTTTGATCAGATTAAAATATTTTTCTTGCTACAGTTGTATAATTGAGTTTAGACCTGCGGGGGTTTTCTGAACATTGTTATATCTTGTACCATGTGGTAGTTAAATGGTAGAAGGAGCACTTATAAGTTCCTTTAAGTTCCTTTTGTAAATAGGTTTATAAAATAGGGGAATGAGCCATGCTGTCCTGTATGTAGGGCACAAGTTCTCCCCACTCCCATTGATGGAAGAGATCCCAGGGGTGCTCCTCACACCTTCTGTGTACCTCAGGTGTGTGTGCTGAGCATGTGAGGTGAAGGCAGGATTAAAATGTTCTATATGTGAAGCTGAGGCGCTGGGCTTTCTGTCTGTATGAAAAACAGAAGTCCAAGAGCCTCCATTTCTTTGGAAAACAGACACTGCCTCATTTTCTTAATTATTAAGTTGTCTAACCAGAGCTTACGTGGGAGCAGAAGGGTGGGGGGACCTCCCCAGCCCTGCATGGCTCAAGTCCCCAGATTAGACAGCAGGACTCACAAATAGTGCCCCTGCTCAGAGCCTGGTCCCCGTGGTCCGCTGGGCTCCTGGAGCTCGTTCAGAGGGTTTGAAATGTCCCCTTGGGCAGGGCAAGATGAAAGTGCAGTTACTGCTGGCCTGGGGCCACGGGCCCCAAATGTCTAACGCGAGGTCAGAAAGCACAGAGCTGCAGTCTGGAGCTGCTCTTTGCCGGACAGAAGCTGAGGCAGCAGCCCCTGAGCCCCGGGACACGGCTGGTTCTGCTGCATCCCCTTCCCCAGGGCTGCCCCATCCCCGGGCAGGAGGAGGCTGTGGCCCCCGCAGCAGCTGGCGGAAGGAAATCTGCAGCTCAGCTGCTTCTCTGCGAGGTCTCTCTGTCCTGACTTGCACTGTCAGGGCAATAGTTTAGTATTGCTTTTTCCTGTGTTGGGTTCTGATCTTGTTGAAACCAGTGGGAAAACTCCCCGGAACCGCCGTGTGACGGGGATTTGTCGCTGCGAGGGGACTGCTGCATCCCTCTCCAGATGTGCGTGGAGGGAGGGAGGGAGGGAGGGAAGGCAGCTGGAAGCCAACAGTAGCTCGGTGTGTTCCCAGCAGTGCCTGTTGCTGTGGGAGAGCAGCATCCCAGCCAGGTTCCCTGGCAGCAGGGTTTGCACTGCGGGACCTCGCCGGGACGGTGCTCTGTCCCCATCAATTGTCACATTCCCGGCAGAAAGCGTTAGGAGCGCGGCGGCTGCTGATGGACCTCCTGGCACACAGACAGATGAGTAATTTGTTCCCTCCTGACCAAAGCAAATCCAAATTCTTTCAGCTCCTCTACCTAGCTTGAAATAAGATAATAATGAAAATAATTTTTTACGTTAAAGCATAATGTTGGATAGGTGGATGTACCAAGGCACAGGGCTTCCAAGGTCATTTATTGCATGTCTGATTCAGTCTTGGTTCCCCCCCAAGGAAAATTCTTGTGTTAATTTCTGAGTTCATATCACACCCTCAATTTTGAAGCAGAACTTCCCTTTGAAATAAATTAGAGAGTTCTGCTTAAGAAGCAGTGACATGATACAGCACTGCCTGTGTGTG